CCCCCCAACCACCACACCTGTCCAACCTCTCCATCCTCTTCTCATTCCTTGCCTCATTCCTCTCTGGCTGTTTCGTCTTCTCTCCAGGCCCCCCAACCCCCGTCTGTTTCTCCTCGCTGTGTCCCTTTTTGTTGATATTCCTGTGTCTGCCTCCCTTACTGTATCTCTCTGTCTATCAGCACCACAGATACTCATAGTGACCTTGAGAAAATAATGACGCAGTTACTGTTGATTGTGGTGCTGTTCATTAATCAGCCACACAATGGGGTTTTTGAACTGCTGTTGGCGCAGTGCTGCTTCTATTCTCTCACTTTGAAGAACTGCTGCCATCTATTGTATTTTGTACCTTTCTCACTGTCTGCTCAATCACAAATATTTCTTCATCTCACGGGAGCTGCTCTGATATTTTGATCTCCATTTCAGCCAGATACTGCCTCCCTGCAAGCTCCCCTCCCCCTGCGGTAAAAACAGCCAATGGTATTTTGGCCTTCGTAGTGAGAGGATTTGAGTACAGGAGCATGGATGTCTTGCTGCATTATTCAGTGCCTTGATGAGTTTTTATCTCCTTCTGTGATGAAGGATGTTCTGGCTACGGAGGGAGTACAAGTTTGTCAGACTGATTTTTAGGATGTTAGAATAACGTACGAAGAGAGATTGGTTCAATTGGGACCATGTTGGCTATTGTTTCAAAAAATGAGGGGGAATTATTGAAAGGCTTCTGAAACTACAAGTAAACTACTTCTTCTCATTAACTCTACCAGTTACATTCTCAAAATGTTCCCTTCATATTTCCTTGCTGACACTGTCTGATCCTGTCACTGTTTTTCACGTACTGTGCTATTAAATCTTTTACGGTGGACTCTAAAATTTTCCCCACTACTGATAGAGTCATAGAGTAATACAGCATGGAAACAGGCCCTTCGGCCCAAACTGATCGGTGCTGACCATGGTGCCCACTCACCTAGTTCCAATTGCCCATATTTGGTCCATATCTCATCTATGTACTAATCCAGAGATAGTGGGGACTGCCGATGCTGGAGAATCTGAGATAACAAGGTGTAGAGCTGGATTTCTGAAGAAGGGTCTAGACCCGAAACGTCAGCTTTCCTGCTCCTCTGATGCTGCTTGGCCTGCTGTGTTCATCCAACTCTACACCTTGTTATCCATGTACCTATCCAAATGTTTTTTAAATGTTGCTATTGTACCTGCCTCAACCACTTTCTCTGGCAGCCCATTCCATATACTCACCACTCTCTGCGTGAAGTTGCCTCTCAGGTCCTTCTTAATTCTTTCCCCTCTCACCTTAAACCTATGTCATCTAGTTTTCAATTCCCTGTCCATTGGAAAAGGACTATATGCATTCATCCTATCTCTGCCCCTCATGATTTTATGCATCTCAATAAGCTCACCCCTCACTCTCCTACGTTCCAAGGAATAAAGTCCTATCCTGGCCAACCTCTCCCTATAACTTAGGCCTACAAGTCCTGGCAACATCCTTGTAAATCTTCTTAGCACACTTTCCAGTTTAACTATGTCTTTCCTATAACAGGGTGACCAAAACTGCACACAATACTCACAAGCACGGCCTCACCAACAACTTATACAACTGTAACATAACGTCCCAATGCCTCGACCGATGAAGGCCAGCATACTAAATGTCTTCTTCACCACCCTGTCCACCTGTGACGCTGCTTTCAATGAACTATGTACTTGTACTCGTAGGTCTCTCTGTTCCACAACACTCCTCAGGACCTTACCATTTACTGTATAAGTCCTACCTTGGTTTGACTTTCCAAACTGCAACACCTCACACTTATCTGTATTGAATTGCATTTGCCAATCCTCAGCCCATTTCCCCAACTGATCACGATCCCTCTGTAATTTCTGATAACCTTCTTCGTTATCAACAATATTTCCTAATTTTGTATCATCTACAAACTTACTAATCATGCCTTGTACATTCACATCCAGATCAAAGAACAAAGAAAATTACAGCACAGGAACAGGCCCTTCGGCCCTCCAAGCCTGCGCCGATCCAGATCCTCTATCTAAACCTGTCGCCTATTCTCCAAGAATCTGTATCCCTCTGCTCCCTGCCCATTCATGTATCTGTCTAGATAAATTTTAAATGACGCTATCGTGCCCGCCTCTACCAGTTATGTAAATAACAAATAACAAAGGTCCCAGCATCGGCCCCCTGTGACACACCACTAGCCACAGGCCTCCAGTCCGAGAAACAACCTTCAACCATCACCCCCTGCTTCCCACCATCTAGCCAATTTTGAATCCAATTAGCTAGCTCTCCTCGGATCCCATGTGACCTAATCTTCATGACTGGCCTGCTGTGCAGGACTTTGTCAAAGGCCTTACTAAAGTCCATATAGACAACATCCACTGCCCTACCCTTATCCATCCTCTTGGTTACCTCTTCGAAAAACTCTAAAAGATCTGTCAGAAATGATTTCCCACGCACAAATCCATGCAGACTGTCCCTAGTCAGACCTTGACATATCCAAATGTTGGTTGATCCTGTCCCTCAGTATCCTCTCCAATAACTTGTCTACCAGTGATGTCAGGCTCACTGGCCTGTAGTTCCCCGGCTTCTCTTTGCTACCTTTCTTAAACAATGGAACAACATTAGCCACCCTCCAGTCTTCCGGAACTTCACCAGTGGCTAAAGATGAAGCAAAAATCTCTGCAAGGGCCCCTGCAGTTTCTTCCCTAGCCGCCCACAACATTCCAAGGATGGACATGATCAGGCCCGGGGATTACTCCACATTAATGTGATCTAAGGCTCCAAACACCACCTCTCTGGTAATGTGTATGCAGACCAAAATACTCCCACTTGTTTCCTTTATATCACTAGCATCCATGATTCTCTCCTCAGTAAGTGCTGAGGAGAAATATTCATTAAAAATCTCCCCCATCTCCTGTGGCTCCACACATAGACAGCCATGCTGATCTTTAAGGGGACCTATTCTCTCCCTAGCCACCCTTTTACGCTTAATATAGCTGTAGAACCTCTTGGGATTATCTTTAACCTTATCTGTCAGATCAATCTCATGCCCTCTTTTTGCCCTTCTGATTTCCCTCTTAAATGTGCTCCTACACTTTTGAAAGTCATCGAGGGATTCACTTGAGCCCGAAAGCTTAAACCTAATGTATGCCTTCTTCTTTTCCCTGACCAAAGCCTCAATATCCTCCTCAGCCAGGGATCCCTAAACCTGCCAGCTTTTCCCTTCATCCTCACAGGGACGTACTGTCCCTGGACTCTTGATATCACACTTTTAAAAGCCTCCCATTTGCCAGCCGTTCCTTTTTCTTCAAACAGACTCACCCAATTGACCTCCACTAGATCCTGCCTAATGGCCCCAAAATTGCCCCTGCTCCAGTTTAGCACCTTAACCTGTGGACCTGTCTTATCTTTTTCCATAACTCTGTTAAAACTAAGAGAGTTATGGTCACAGGACCCAAAGTGCTCTCCGACTGACACTTCAGTCACTTGCCCGATTTCGTTTCCTCAGAGGATGTCCACTGTTGCACCTTCCCGAGTAGGACCCTTTGCACATTGATTTTGGAAACTTTCTTGAGCACTTGTGACAAATTCCACCCCGTCCAGGCCTTTTACACTCTGGGTGGCTTAGTCAACACGGGAAATTAAAATTTCCACCAATACTACTCTGTTATTCCTGCAGGTATCTGCAAACCCTCTGCACAGCTGCTCCTCTAGTACCTGCTGGCTATGTGGGGGTCTATAATACAACAGAGTGACCATCCCCTTCTTGTTTCTAAGTTCTAACCATATGGCCTCATTTGATGACCCCTTAAGAATGTCCTCTCTGAGCACTGTTGTTATGTGCTCCCTTATCAAAAGGGCAACTCCCCCTCTTTGCTTACTTGTACTTCTGTCACACCTGTAGCTTCTGTATCCTGGAACATTGTCCTGCCCATCACTCAGTCCTGTTTCTGTTAGGGCTATAATATCCCAGTGCCAGTCCATGCTCTGAGCTCATCTGCCTTACCAGTCAGGCCTTGTGTGTTGAACTAAATGCACTTTAAACCGGAAGCCTTTTCTGTCCCTTTACTGTGTCCTTGGCTATCCTGAATAATAAACTTGCTCTCAATGGCGAATATATTTTCCCTTGACTTGTGGATGGCCCCTCTCTTATTCGAAGACCCCCCCCCCCGCCCTCTTATTCAGAGTCTTCTCCCCCCACCCCCGACACCCGCTGTCTTATTCAGAGTTCCCCCCGGCCAAGCTAGTTTAACACTAGCAAATCTCCCCACAAGGATAACGATGTTGGAACCCTCCAGTTCAAGTGCAACCCATGCCTATTTGAATTTTATAGGTTTTTACGAGATATCCCCCCTCATTCTTGTAAATTTAAGTGAATATGTTCTTAACCGATCCAGTCTATTTTTTTAAACGTCAGTCCTGCCATTTCAGATCTGGTAAACCTTTGCTGCACTCCCTCTATAGCCACACCATCCTTCCTGAGATACAGAGACCAAACCAACAATACAATATTCCAGGTGTGGCACTACTACGGCCCTGCACTATTGCAGCAATTTGTACCTGCTCCTGTACTTGAATGCTATCACTGTGAGGGCCAACATACCATTTGCTGCTCTCTCAATTTTCCAAGTGCTCTGCCATTAAATCTTTTAGATTGGACTCTAGCATTTTCCTACTCCAGCTGTCAGGCTGGCTGATCTATGACACTCTGTCTTTTCTCTACATTGTGTTTTAAATATTGGTTGTACACTTACTACCCACCAATCATTTGAAACTGTCCCAGAATCTACAGAATCTTGAAAGGTGATTGTAATGCACCCACTAACTCTATAATCATTGCATTAAGTAGTCTTCAAATGAGCATTATTACTTATTGCTAATCTCCTGCTTTTTCCCCAATATCCGTGTACATTATTTCTTTCCAAATGTTCATCCAGTGCAGTCTTCAATGTCTCAACT